CCCCCCAAAAATCCCAACCCCAACCCGGGAATCCCCAAATCCCCAAATTCCCCTAAAAATCCTCCAAAATTCCAAACTTCTCCCCAAAAATCCCCTCAAATATCCCCCAAAATTCCCCCTAAGAAGCCAAAAAAATCCCCCAAGAAACCCCAAAATTTTTCCCCCAAAAAACCAAAATCCCCCAAATTCACCCCAAAATCCCCAAAATTACCCCCAGAAATCCCACCTGGGACCCCAAAATCCCCCCAAAATCCAGCCTAAAAACCCCAAAAATCCACCAAAAAACCCCAAAATTCCCCCCAAAAAACTGCAAAATTTTTCCCAAGAAACCCCAAAAATCCCCAATTTTTTTCCCAAAATCCACCACATTTTTCCCAAAAATCCCAAAACTCCCCCCAAAATCCCCTCTGGGATCCCCAAAAATGCCCCAAATCCCCCCAGAATCCCCTCAAATCTCTCCCAAAATTCCCCCTAAAAAGCCCAAAAATCCCCCCCAAAACCCCAAAATTTTTCCCAAAAATAACCAAAATCCCCCAAATTCACCCCAAAATCCCCAAAAGTTCCCCAAATTCCTCCCAAAATCCCCTTTGGCACCCCCAAAAAACCCCAAAATCCCCGCAGAAACCCCTCAAATCTCCCCCAAAATCCCCCCTAATAGCCAAAAAATCCACCAAAAAACGCCAAAAATCCCCAAAAAAACCCCAAAATTTTTCCCCAAAAAAAAACAAAATCCCCCAAATTCACCCCAAAATCCCCAAAAATTCCCCCCAAATATCCCCTCTGCGACCTCAAAATCTCCCCTAAAAAACCCAAAAATCCCCCCAAAAAATCCCAATTTTTTTCCCAAAATCCCCCAAATTTCACCCAAAATCCCCCAATTTTTTCCCAAAATCCCCCAATTTCAGCCCAAAATGGCGGCCGACCTTCGGGCTCCTCCTCCTCCTCGTCCTCGTCGCCGCCGAGGCTGAAGCTCAGGGAGCTGATCTTCCTCTGCGCCTCCTGCTTGCGCTGCCGCTCGGGGGGGGGCTCCAGCTTCCTGCGCAAACTGGGGGGGACTGGGAGCACTGGGACAGACTGGGGGGGACTGGGA